GCATCTGCCCACCCACCGCCTCACTTCCCGTCAGGACTTATCCTTGAATTTCTTTCTTTGTTAAGTGTGCTTATTAGAAATCATTAAATTATCCAACACAAGACTATATCACATTCCTTTACACAGGGCACGAGAATCAGTTCAAATTATATTGCATACCTCTTCAATTACCTGTGCTTTGTATGACCCTCTGGATATGGAATTCCAGAAGCAGTGTGATCGCTGAGAACCTCCGTGAACATCTATTTAAACCCTATTACTAATGCCTTTATGGCCATGGAGTATTATGAGTCACAAAACTCAAAGCTAAATTGAATAATTGACTCTAGACTAGGAAGTCCTACTTCTAAAATGTCAGCAATTATATATATAGAGATAAGCTTAAAGACTGATCATTGAGATCATAATTTCATCTCCTGACTTGGGATGAACATAAAAGTATTACCACAAATAACTCATAATTAAAAACTGTCACTGGCAAGAATATTAAAGTGCTTCTACAACAGCTCATGCAGACAGCTGTCAACACAGGAACCTTAACTGATGCCAAAATGTCAGGTGTGGAATTTTATCCAGTATTAAATCGTATTTTTCATGTTTTAAAATAAAAATTATATTTTCAAAGAAAGTACTTTTAGCAAATATTTTGGTGGTGTCCTTAGCATTAAAATAATTTTTAAAAAATTCTTTTATTTTTTGGCATTAAAATAATTTTTAATGTTCCAAGTTTTTTTTTAAAAAAGGTTGCTTTCAGGTAAAATGGTAAATTAGGCCTAATTAATACCTTTGAACATAATTTCCTAGTTTGTAACAAGGTGAGTTCTCATTAATTAAAACTTCTCTTCTTTGTAGCTACACATGAAACCATTCTGAAATTTGGAATGATTTGTAGAATTACCCACTGAGTGGGGAAAAATATAAATTATGCTTAATTTGATTTTGATTAATCAAATTGAATTGAAATATTTAGAAAGACCTAATGTGATATGCTTTTGGTGAAGAACAAGGAATTCATTGAGCCAAGAAAAGCAATAATGCATACAAATTTGAAGATAATCAGAGATAATCATTCTGCTAAGAAACTTTCTTTTTTCTTCTTCAACAAAATGGGTGCATAAGTAAATGTGGTCAAGAAAGCTGATGGTGCCCAGCTGTTAAAAGATATAGTGCCTGGGGTCTTAAAGGCTTGACATTAAATAAGCAGCCATCTAGCAGGGAAACAACAAAGCCCACATGGAAGAAGCAGCGCATCCTGTGTGATCCTGACGTGTCAATGGGGACAGGTATCAGAAGTTCAAAAACAAGCAACCAAGTTGATATGAAGGAGACAAAGTGGAGACCCCAAACCCACTTTTAAGATAATGGGACAGTTGCTCACAGAAGGGCCACATTGGATGAATGATATATCCAGAGTGCAGTACAGCACTGATGAAACACATAACTATCTTCTAGTTCTTTAATATTTCCTACCCCCACTGTTATGGCCTTAGTTTTACCTCACTAATCTTGCTAGACCTGAGTATGTACACTTGCACAATCACGATCTTTCAATGCAGGAAAACCAAGATAGATAAACCCCTCAGAAACAGTAATGGGAGTAACGATTTCCTGAGGGGACGGGAAGCGGGAGTAGGAAGGGGGAACCGATGGCATTGATGAATATATAACCCCATTCGAGGGGAACAAACAACAGAATTGTAGGTGGATGAATACATTGGATGGTATAAGATATGGCAAATATAATAATAATATATAATATATTAAGGGTTATGGAGGTGATAGGGTGAAGAAGCCGGGGAAAGGGGTGCTGATATCAAATAGTTCAATAAGAAAAAAAAATGTATTGAAAATGATGATGACAGCAATTGTACAATTATGCTTGATCTAATGGAACTGTAGATTGTAATATTAATCTGTAAGAGCTAATAAAATATTGAAAAATTACTTTCCTTTAGTCTCATTTAGATACATTTTATGGTGGTGCATTCTCTCAGTAACCACCACAGCTAAAGCTCTTAACAACCCCAACATCATCAACTACTACGTATTAAAAAATGAAACACAGCTGCATCGATACTCCCTGTCATCGATGATAGCAAAATATGTTAAAATGATTTATTTTCTTTCAGATATTGGAAGTGGACTAAATTGATGGGCCCTTTTTAAAAAAAAAA